AAGTGATGTATGATTATTCCAATTCTGAAACTTAAAGGCTTAACACTAGGTATCAAAATGAGAAATCTTCAGTTTTACTTCCATCTCTGATATCCTTTAATTGGCTTTTGATCATGCTTTTAGCTTCTGTCTGTATCCCTCTATACTAGGGATAAAGGCATATAGACATATTACCTTAATTTTCCATGACCTCCCTCTCCTTCCTTCCCAAATTCAGAAACATATGGTTTGTAGCAGGAAAAATTAGATACATCCTAAATGTCTTTCCATTAAAGCTGTGCCCAGCATCATACCAGGTGCAGGGGACACAGCAGTGAACAAAGTGGGAAGGGGTTTCCTCTTATGAAACCCACTGAGGAGAGGAATGACCCATAAATGTATCAGCACAAAATTGTGAAACTTGCCAGAAAGAGGAGGGTGCAAATATTTTTAATTGTTCCCTAGAGAAACCCTATGTGAATTTCTGTTTTTTCAAGTGAGATATTTGAGCTTCAACTTGGACTGTCTGTGAATTGCCAGTGTGCAATAGTAGGACCACAATTGGCAATGAATACAGAATAAGTGAGGACCTTGGCATTGGCCTCAGAGACTGGTCAGGCTGTGTTGGTGCATGGGAATAGGAGATAGTCATATTTGGTGAGGGTCTGAGCATCGGTTTAGGGGCAGGGGATGAATAGATAGTGTCCCAGGGTCTGACTGTGTAGAAAGGGGGACACAAAGGAGAATAGTGATAAAAGTGAGTGGCCATGTGAGAGTCCAGAGAATTAAAGTTCTGAGATTTACCTGATTATGGATTACCTGAGTGTTAGCTGAACAGGGTCTCTAGGATAAGAAATAAGAATCTGCAAAGGGAAGGAGAAAGGCAATCTAGTTATAAGGAATACTATTTGTACAGAGTGTTCAAGAACAAGGGAAATTCTGAGAACTGCAGGTAGTTTGTAGCTAGAACAAAGACTAAAGGTGGGGCAAGTGAGGCATTTAACAAATACTGGATAATTTATATGGTGGCTCACACCGTACTAGTTGCTAAAAATAAACAAGAATATGACACATTGCTGCTTTCAAAGAACTCTGAGTCCAGTGGAACAGACAGGTGAGGAAAAAGGCAATTATACTCTACTGTAGTAAGGGTTGGACAAATGATAAGAAAGGTGTTGGACACCTTTACAGGATAAGGTAGAGGTAGAAAAGGGTAGAGGTAAGCACAGGGTTGTACAATAAACAATAAGAGCACAGAAAAGGGACACCCATATAGCCTTAAAGCATTAAAGGTTTCCTATACAAATATTTTTTTCTGTTTCTCAATGATTATAGATTTTTGGGTAATTAAGTTTTAAACATTAAATTATTATAAAATAGTGTTACTAACAGACACTAGAATAGGGTCTACAGTTCTTGTCTTCATGTATTAAAATAATTTAACGGAGACTTCAGAGTATGCAAGCAAGCAGTGCACTTTATTAGAGACATGGGCAAACAGAAGCACCTTGATAGGCCAGGGTGGGCCGTTCAAGAGAGTGAGCCCTGAGAAGAATCAGGGTAGCTCTTATTATGAGGAGCAAAAATGTTTATTCATTAGTTATTAGGTCACTTAGCATGAAAAGAAGTTTCAATTTAGCACAGGCATAGCTGGACTACATACATAAATGTATGTTGAAATGTCATCCCATGTAGCATCAGCATATAAAATCTCCACCAAGGGGAGGGAAATTAAGTATTATGGGGAAAAGGTGACTCTCTAACACCAAATTTACCTTATGTGTATGTCATGGTCCATTGTTTGTGTCTTGGTCCATTGATTATCTGACCAAGGGCGTCTCTAAACCTAGGACACAGTGGCTATAAAACTTTTAAAAACAATAGGTTGACGTGAAAAACAAGACATATTGGAACCTTATAGAGCCAATGGTTCCAGTCACAATGCATCCTGTCAAGACTTAGGTATGTTGGGTTGGACTGGTCTCTCCATTTTTTCTTACCTTTCTCAATAGTATATTCAAGTAGTATGGCAGTGAATAAAACAAAAATCATGATCTGATGAATATAAAACATTATTCTTTAGTCATTTTCTATTTCTATATAACTAGACATACTCTTAAAAAAACATAATAATGAAGATATATATATATAATACATATACATATTAAGACATACTTTTCTCTCTTAAAACATACTTAATTTTTTCCATGTCCGTATATATCACACTACCTTATCCGTTTTCGACAGCTGTATGGTGTTCTATTATATGGCTATACCTTAATTTTTAAACCAGTACTAGGTTGGTAGACATTTAGGTTTTCTTTCTAGTTTTCACTACTACAAGTTGGAAATGAATACCTAGTTTTTACATCATTGTATACATGGGCCAACATTTTGGAGCAAATTACTTAATCTTTTTGTGGCTAGTATCTATAAATCATTGAGAACATTACAAACTAGTTTATTTAAAATTTCCTGCATAGAGGTTAGCTAAAATGATGTTGTTCTCTTTTCTCAAATTACTATAATGTTATGTTCATTATTAAAATAATCTATTCTGTGATAAATCCTTTGTTTAGATTTCACAAAATAAAATAATGGAAAACATGTTCCTGGTTGGAGACAGGTTCTTATATATAATTTTTAATCAGCTTTTTTTTTATAATGACTAGAAAAATAACTGGTTCTTAATAGGCATAAAGAATAACAAAGTCTTTCATTATTCTGCCACCTAGAAATTATAATTAATATTTCTGTATATATTCAGACTTTGTCCTTTGTTACATTTTTTAATGGAAAAAAGGGGAACATTTTATTTATATGGACAGTTTTGTAACCTACCTTGTATTTTTGATGGTTTATGCTGTGAACATCTTTTTATGTGACCATTTTTTTTTTTTTTTACAAGAAGTATATTATCATTTCTTAATGGCTTCATATTCCCTCTATGGATGTACCATAATTTACTTGATCTCTATAGACTTTTTGGTAGTTATAAGCAATTTATCAGTGAACACCTTTACAAATTGTTGGACACACCTATCATTTTATTAAAATAAATTAAAAGATTTAGAATAGCTGGGCAAAGGGTCTTATTTTTCAAAATGAAAGCCCAACTATCTTCCAGCAAAGCAGTACACATTTGATTCGCAACGTGGTTAATGCAAATGCCTATTCCATAAACCCCATCTAGGTTTTATTTACTCTTTAAATCTTTCCCAGTGTGCTAGGTAAGAGGCGGTATCTCATTGTTTTATTTTACTTACTTTCTGATTTCCACTGAGGTAATTACTGATGTACACGACTAATGTGTTCACATCCTTTGGCTTTTTAGAGGAGTTGATATCGTTATCTTTTCCTTAACGATTTAAGAGCTTTTGATATGAAAACCTTAAGGGATATTAAAGGCAGTAACAGTATACATAATTAAACTGTTGCCGTACACGTTAAAACTGTTTCCCCGTCACTATTTTTCAATTTTAGGTCTTTTGCTATATGAAAGGCACAATTTGTGTTCAAAATTATAACTTTTTCCTTGTTTCTTAAATTGGCATTACGCTTAGGAGAAGCGGAAGCAGGCCTTGCCCCCGTATATAAGCTACTTCGACAGAAGTTGTGTAGTGTGCTGAAAAGACTGCGGATTAAAACACTAAGACTTGAGTTTAAGTCTGGTACAGCCAAGTTATGGCGGCCAACTTCCATGTTGTGTAACCTCAGCATGCTACTCAACATGAACCAATTTCATCTCTGAAATGAAAATAACACTCACTGCAGAGGTGAATATAAGGACAGAGTCCATCCAGCAAACGTTAATGCTCTTTTCTCTCCACTCAGCAAGGCATTGTTAATTGCCAAAAGGGTCCATCTCCCTGAAGACTAAAAGTTTGGGAGGTATAATCTTTGGTGAGTTTACTTGCAAACATTCTTTCGGGGAGCTTTTTATAAGCAGATCATTAAACTACCAACCCCAAAACGCATATATAAAAGGACCATAAACTTAAGGTGTATGAAACCTTTGTGGCTTGGGGGAGAGCCAAGAGCCAAGTATTTTTAATTTTCTGGATTTTCTCTCATTAAGACCATCTCTCCGATTCTTCCTCGGCACATGTGGTTACTTCCTCTTGGAAGGTTTAACTTTGCAGGTTTCAAAGTGAGCCTTCAGTTATGGGCGAAAGGCCTCGCAATTAGAGAACTGTGAATACCATTAAATTCATGTGAAAAAACAAACAGTATGGACCGAGATACCGCTGAAATAACTCTCACCTGGTGTAGATTTAATAGAAAGAAAACTGATGATTAGCACGAGTATTTCCAGGAGTCACTTTTACCCTTGGAGAACCTGGGCTTAGCTCCCAAGAAGCAAGTCTCCCATTTCCTCAAGGGCCGGCCTCGCGTATGTGTTATGTCAAACACTCGTATTTGCTTGCGACGGTGGCTCCATTGCTTCAGCGCGCGCAGGGCGCCCTGCCGGCGCTCCGCCCGCGCAAAGCCGTGCCCAGGCCGGTATCTGATCCCGCGTCCGCTCAGGCACGAGCGCGGTATCGGGCAAGGGGCGCGCGCCGCGGCGCCTCAGAGCTCCGAGCTTCCGGGCGGTAGAGACTCCGCAGCGCGCGCCACTCGAGTCCGTGCGGCCGCCTCCCAGCACAGCCTTCCCCTCTTGCCCTCCCGGCGGCCCTACCAACTCAAGCTCCCCGGCGACCCCGGGCGGGAGGAGGGACTCCTCAGGGAGCGGCAGGGAATTCCCCCTTCCACCGAAAATTCCCGATTGTTCACTATCTTCACGTCAGCAGCAGGGGGTAATCCCCGACTCAGCTGCTCCTGACGTCACTGCACGGAGCCACCGCCCCCCGCGCGCCTCTGCCTCCGGGGGCCTCCTGAAGCCCTGCCCCAAACGTAGACACGCCTTTTTCCCCTCCCCCCAGCAGGGGACGTAGTGGGCGGAGTTCTTTGCCAGCGCGTGAGCGGTTGCTTGGGCCAGAAGGTTCTCTGGTGGAGGCGCTTCTCCTGCTGCCCCGCCCAATAGGTTCTTTAGTACCGCTTCTTCCACACCCTTTCTCCCTCCTTCTTGTCCTCGCCCCGCCTTTCCCCTCCCTTTTCCTCAACCTCGCTCATTCCTTCCCCGCCTCGCCATCTTCCACAATCTCGCGAGACTTGACCCAGAACATTGCGGATCGGGTCGGCGCCATTTTGGGACTGAGACTGGTTGTGGGGGAGGGAAAAGCGGCAAAAGGGGATTATTCAAAGTACCGAAAACCTCCTCCCGGGATCGAGCGCAGCTGAACCCCCAGGCCAGGGCCACCTCTGGTGTGGCAGAAGGTAACTCCGTCCTCTGTGCTCCACACCGGAGTCAGGGAGAGGTGAGGGGGGGCCCGTGTCAGCGTTGGGGTTTGAGGGGTCGGAGCGGCGTTGGCGGCGCGAGGTGTAAGGCTGCCCGCGGACTGGGTGGGGGCGGGGGAGGTGGCGAAGAGCAAGCGGAGAGAGGGAAGAACGGCACCCGGAGGCCCCGCCAGCTATTGAGTCGTTCCCAGCGGAGCGGAGGTGGCGGTTGTGGCGAGGGGGTAGGTGGCTTAGGCTCGGCTGCTGGGGGGACGGGGGGGTTTGTTTGACCGAGGCTGGGAACCGGCCCGACGCCGTCCGCGTTCAGTCTTTATTCCTCCGGCCTTTTGCACACGCCCGCCTCTTTTGGCAACACTGCTCCTCTCAGAGGGCTGAGGGAGTCGAGGCCGAGTTGTGGCCTTCGGTTGTTTCTTCAGAGGCGCGCCCGCTCTCCCCGCCTCTCTCGGGCTGTTGGCACTAGCTGTGTACCGAGCGGAGTCTGAGGGTACCTGCTGTGTATTTGGAGAGAACCACTCAGGTGATACTAGAGGGGCTTGGTATCTTCCACTCCCCCCTTAGTGTTGGGAGAAACCGGTTTTCTTAATTCAAGGAAATGGGGACTGACACCTTTAACCCACCGCTGCTCTCAAAGCTGGGGAAGTCTCGCCCTCAGGCAGATTTCAGGAATGTGCTTGCTCCATTTCTTTTCCACCTATCTTTGTACTGGTGCAAACGTGCTTCTTTTAGACATTTTAGAAAACGTGCTTCTTTTAGACATTCTAATCTGGAGGGTTCCTCTTCCTCTTTGTAAGTTGTATTTACTAATTAATGCTCGGTGGCACCTCACCTGTCCGTTTTCCTTTGGCACATTGAATTGGAAATAGAGATCTTTTGTAAGATTGTGCGCCCTTTTCATAGTTTCTAATATTTACTCAGGAGAGTGTAAGAGATTTGCTTATATGATCCGATGTTGTATCCACTCTCCATTCCCAGTTAATACCAGTACTTGCCCTCCATAACATTCTCGCACCTTTTTTCCTCCTCTCTTTTGAAGTCCTTTTCGTACAGTATACTTTTTGGGGGTCGCGTGCTTGCACATAGCCTTTTTCCAGCCCCCAGTAGAATTACATAGACCTGAATTCCTTCCACGGGTTGACTCTTTAACATGGGGATTAATTTTTAATTTAAAATTAAAACTCACTGTGTAACTTGTTTCTTTTATAACTTTTACAGGTGATTGAATTACACAGATGTGAAGATAATCATCTAGGTTTTGTGTAAAAGGCCCCGGATATTTCAAGTGGCCATTTTGGAATTACCGTGTTTTTGGATAATTTTGCCCCAGAAGTTTATTAACATCGGCAAGAATCATCTCTGAAGTGAATTGATAGTAGTGAACAATTCTACAAGCTGCTTAAAAGAGACCCAGGCATTTCTTCAGTATTTTGGTTCAAACGGAACTATATAACTGGTTAAAGTATTTCAGCTGGTGGTGTTTTTTTTTTTTGCCTTCTCCCAACCCCTCCCCTGTTGTTGGTGTTCTTCAGCCAAAACTGCAAGATATGTTTGATTTGTGTACTGAGTAGTTTCGGCAGTTTCAAATTGCTGTTTAAATATTGCTGAAGTTTCATGGCAGTTTATTTTTACCTTTATTAAAAGTTTTAGGAATTTTTGATCTCAGCCCTTTTCATGTCCCAATGGGGCAGCTTTTCTAAATGATATTGAAAGAATACAGAGCTTTTTTCCTTTTCTCTTTTATTTACTTGGAAATTTAAGATGTTGCAGTTTCCCAGCAGCATGGTAATATTGAGATAGCTATGTGTTTCTGTATATTCTGATGTTTAGGAATGCTCTTCAGATGTGAAATTTTCCTTTTGCTTTTGCTTTTTGGCTCATAAATTGGATATTTCATCGAGTGGAAAAGTACAACAGTGACAAGTACATGGAATAATAAAAAGACTTTATAATCTTAAATCCAAGGAACTTGGCTAATTCTGGAGACAGCCATATGAAAACTTTAAAACAGAAGTATGGGTAGCTGACTTGAAGTAACTCTATGTCAAATAGTCATAGGTTAAGTATCTTCAAAGAACTTGGATATTATTTCAGAGGATACAAAATTAAAAAACAAACTGGAAAACATAAAGATTACAGAGAAAAACCCAACACCTTCCTGTGCAGTCCTAGTGGAATTTGTAAGTACCAGATGGTGATAAAATGAAATGTTTGTTTGAAATGAAAGGTTTGTCCCATGTTATTCTTGGAAGCCTTTCAGTTTCTTACAATAATAATGCTTGGTTTCACTTTCCTGGACAGCCTGAAAACAACTATTAAGTAAACGGAAATTCAGAAAGCATTTAAGATTCAAGTTCAAACAGTCCAAATTTTAGTTTTTGTGCTCCTAAATTAAAAAAAAAAATCCATATGGTCAGTATTTACTTAAGCCCTTATGGATTCACGGATTCATAGATCGGTAGAGAAATAGGTAAAAAACCCAACAGATATTTCCGGTGTCTTGATAGCCAGTTTACTTCCTAAATGTGTGTTTAGAGTGCATTCTAAGTTTACTGTTCCGGTTTAGAGTCAAGTAGTTGTTGAGAGCAAATTATAAAAATAGGGCTTGGTTTCTAATCTATTTCATAAAGTGGCTTGTTTTAAGTCACAACTGTTCCTAACACTTTAATCAATTATAGAAATTAGTTTTTGAAATAATTTGTTGAAGTAGTTTTCTATTTCAAATTCTTACAATTTCAGTTCCAAAACTCACTAGGAATAGAAACTGAGAGGAACTGAGCAAGATTGATTAAGAGCCTTTAAAATAACAAATGAGTATACTTTTTTCCTCCCAGGAAGGTTATACTGGTTTAAGTTTATAAACAAAGTTAAAAAAAAAAAGAATATTAATTGCTGTACCAAATCCTTTTGACAAAAGAGAATTATCTTCTGATAGTACTTGTATTTTTCAGGATGGAATGGAGTTTTTGGTTACCCATAGTTATTGTATTTAGTTTCTCAGTGATTCGTACGCATTCAGTAGGAGTGTTTTAAAAAAATTCACTAAAATCTATCTTTAAAATGATACAAGTGAACAGATCAGTGTACCCAGAGTTAATTTCACTTAATGTTCTTTCTGAAGTAAAAGATTGTGATTTTTGAATATTATGCCAAGATGGCCTAATAATTTTCAGTTGCTCATTTATTTTGAGACAATTTTGTTACACCTTCTAATCCTGGTAGCCCTCTCAGAGCAGAGGTGGTAGCAGAGTCCAAAAAGAATGTGGGCGTTTAGATGTGCGTATGTAACATTTTCTCATCTAAAATTGAGATTAGAGTTCAATAATTCTGTTAAAGTAGACTGGGTTATTTGTATTTTCTCAGTCTGAGCTATGTGTAGTACTTCTAATTGAATTTCCACTTTGATTAATATAAAAAGGTGGCAAGAACAGTCCCCCCCCCCCATTTTCACTTTATTTTACACATTTCCTGAATTTAATGGCTTTTCAAGTTAACTGCCTAAGAATATGGTATGCATCTTAAATGTGATAAAGTTAAACTGGAAATGAATGGCCTTCATTCATAGCAAAGAACCACATAACATTTGCTATTTGTGATTATTTTCCTTTAAATTGCTCCTGTTGATGTTAACCGAAGCAGTATTTAATCAGGATAAAGATTACTTCAGAGACCAGGGTTTTGAACAATTAACTGTAATCTTTGAATAGCCTAACATTTTGAACTTAGTTTACGGCAGTTGTTCAAGGGCAGATTTACTTGAACGTTTTGAATAAATATTTTAGTATTTTATTGGTGTTGAAATGTATAGTATCAGAAGTAATTTTAACAGTTGTTGGGCTGCATCTTCCCCCCAATAAGTACTATTTTCCTATCTCCCAGACCTCTATTTTTTTCTTTTTTTCTTTTCTCCTGTGCCTAAACTATAGGTCTAAAAAATCATGACTAACATTTATAAACAGTGATTGTGTCACAGTGTTTGCTATGTTCTTTACATTGTTTATCTTAATTCTAAAACAATCCTATGAGGAAAGTACTATTCTAGTTACTGTGATAGAGGTGAAAATTAGGGAGACTGAGACTAGGAAAAAGTTACTTAGGACCAAGGATGGGTTGGAGTTTTGACCAAATTCCCTAATCCAGGGCCCCTTACTCAATCATTATGCCGTACTTACACTGGCTTATTACTTACTAACTTATTTTACTTATTAACTCGTTCTGTTTGAGAGTTATCCCTGATATTTTGGTTTTTCTTTTCATAACACTGATTCTCTTTGTTAATATTATTAGTGGAGCTTGGAGACAAGCTAAAAGATAGAAGAGAAACTACTGTTCTGTTATTAGTGGCTATTTGATAACTTTGGTGAGCCAAAAATTGAAATGTGGTTTCAGATTGTGTTGAGATCTCATTTACCCATAGTCTCTTTGTACAGGTCTGAAACTAAAATGTATGCTAGCTTTGTTTGCAGTTTTTCACTGTTTTTGAACTGAGATTACTACAAGTATTTTGTGCTTAAAGCTGCTGACGCTATAGAACTGAGGGAGAAATAATAATAGGGGAAAGAAGAGTAGAAGTAAAAATTAGCAAGTGAGGAAGAATCTACATCCAGGCCACATTATCTAATTAATTGTCTTTGACACAAGCATCTTTTCTGTTTATAATTTTTGATAAAAATGTTTAGATCTAGGTAAGGATAGTGATGTAGAAAAGGAGTAATGGCTTGGAGTTAGGAGATTTTTGTCTTAGAATTTGGAATAATTAGAAAAGGGCCTCTGTGACCTTGTGTATTCACCTAATTTCTTTGGTCTATAAAACTGATAGAAATGATGTTTATGAAGGTGCTCTGTTAATTGTGATGTTTAATAAGAATACAGAGTTATTGTAATTCCAATATTCTAAGATCCTGCTTAATTTTACATGTGTTAAGTAAATACTTTTATTATAGTCTCTGAAATTATTTCTTCTCTTGTTTGTGTTAATGGCATTACCTGAATCCCTTCATGCCCAGCCTCCTCATTTCCAGTTTCATTTATTGTTCTAGCTTGGTCTTTGACAAAGGAAGTAGTAACCTACTAACCTTTCTTTCCCTTTAGTTCATTCTCTTCTCCTCCATGGTCCTGTGACCAGAGAAATCTACCTCAACTATAGCTTTTGGTTTTGTTTTCTCAGCAGCCCTTAGGTAGTATATTTGGCATATTAAAGAGAGCAAGTTGATCTACCCTTCTTTCCCTTCTCCCCCCAAAATGTTTCATTTTCAAAGGTTCCTAACAAATTCTTTTTGGCTGTGGGTGGGTTCAGGAAACAGTGGTTTGAAAATTCTCTGAAATTGATGATTTGGGGATTGTTTATATATATTTTCCTCCTGGGTGGGTCCTTTATTTTAAACAGGAGAAACTATTTTGTGGTTGGTGGGTCTGTTTATCAGTTTTATCTACTTTTCCCTTTTTGTCAGCTGCCACACCCAGTAAAATAGTTAACAGGCTTTTTTAAAAATTTGCTCTGTATCTCTTCAAGTAATTGCTAGTTTCTGATATTTTAATATATATAAGATGATCACTCAGTTTCTTGTTCTTGAGTCATCTTTCTGTTCAGAGCTTGGTGAGTGCAAGGTTTTTGGTCTCATTTTCTGCCGTTTAAGTTTTCAGATTGTATTTTCTAAAGCCATATTTAAGTTTCTTCCATACATTTAAAAAACTTTTTAAGAAGAATGAGTTTTAAAATCCTAAATAAGTTGTGTTTCTGTTGAAACTTGAACTTGCAAAATATTATTAAAAATTCTTTACTGAAAGATTGTCAGGAATATTACCTTTTATCTTTAAGATACTAGTAAAAGAATTACTGGTATGTTTGCTTTTCAAAGACTATAAATTGTATTCTTTGAGTTAAAAAAAATCATTTGTGATCTCATGGTTTTTGTGCATCAGAAACTTGGGAGGAGTTGAATTAAATGGTTCTGGCTACTTCCAGTCTTTCATAAAAATCTCCATTAAGTTGAGCAGGGCTGCAGTAATTTGAAGACTTCACTGGGGCTGGAGGATATCCTTCCAAGGTGGTATACTGATTGGGCATATAGGTTGATTCTGGCTGTTGGACTCTGTAGCCACATGTGGACCTTTCCATTGAGCTGCTTGACTTTCCTTGCAACATGGCAGATACATCTCCCAGAACAGGTGATCTGGGAAGAGAATGGTAAAAGTATCTTTATGACTGATTATCAGAAGTTACTTCTGCCACATTCTTTTCATTAGAAGCAAGTTATTAAGTCTTGCCCACAGTCCAGGTTAGGGGGAGTTTGGCTCCACCTTTTGACAAAATAATTGGTGGACATACTTAAAAACTACAATAGGACGTACTCTTTCACAACCATTAATTGTCAACATAATTGGCCAGAGTCTTCACCCCACAAATAGGTTGGGATATTAAAAATTTAGAGAAGAGAGTATAGTCTAAGTTTTTATGAATTCAGGAGATTTAAATCTTTCAACCTTTTTAGCTGCTGTATGAAATGTGGGGTTAGGGTTTTTTCCCCCTCCCACTTTGCATTAATCTCCCAATCAGTGTAGTGGGAGAACTTTTTTTTAAAAAAAGGTAAAATAAACAGGTATATTAGCTGTTTCTGAATGTACAGTTCAATGATACTGAGTACATTTACATTGTTGTGCAACCATTACCACCATCCACCTCCAGTATTTCTTTTTCATCTTTTTTTTTAAGAAAAATCTTTTATTAAGGTATTGTTGATACACACTCTTACAAAGGTTTCACATGAAAAAACGATGTGGTACTACATTCACCCATATTATCGAGTGTCCCCCCATACCCCATTGCAGTCACTGTCCATCAGTATAGTAAGATGCCACAGAGACACTATTTGCCTTCTCTGTGCTACACTGTCTTCCCTGTGATTCCCCTCCACACCATGTATGCCAATCGTAATACCCTTCAATCTCCTTCTCCCTCCCTCCCCACCCCTCCCCTTTGGTAACCATTAGTCCCTCCTTGGAGTCCGTGAGTCTGCTATTGTTTTGTTCCTTCAGTTTTGCTTTCTTGTTATATTCCACAAATGAGGGAAATCATTTGGTACTTGTCTTTCTCTGCCTGGCTTATTTCACTGAGCATAATATGCTCCAGCTCCATCCATGTTGTTGCAAACGGTAGGATTTGTTTCTTTCTTATGGCTGA